ACCCCGATTCCCAGGCTCACCCCGAGGGCAGGAGAATCCGGGGACCTGATGCGTGAAGACGCTTCATGGGCTGTGAAGGGCTTTACTCCGGGCCCAGCCCACGGCAGCCCGCCCCGGGCCCACGGAGATCCCACTACAGGGAATGTCTGACCCTGCACCGCTAGGCTTGCCGGACAGGTGTGAGTCTACAGAAACCCCGAGTGTAAATGCCGGCACTCCAAACCGCGGCAGGAGAGGGCCGGGTCCTTGCGGAGGGACGGGTGACAGAGGCGCTAAGGGCGGAGATGCCACAGGTGGGAGGGGCCCCAGGCCCCGGGGGGCCGGCTGCGGCGCCAGGTCGGAACGCGCGGGAGAGGGCGCGCGCAGGGCCGGGGAAAGGGCGCCCCGCGAGCAGCAGAAGCGGCCGGAAGAAGGCCTCCGGCCTGGGTCCCCGCAGAGCCCGACGCCCTGAGGGTCCGAGGGCGCAGGCCTGGTCCACAGGGTCTCTGACAGGGCCCGGACGAGCCGTCACTGGGGTGCGCGGGGAAGCGGGTCTCGGAGCCCTGAAGGTCTCGCACGGGCGGCTGACGGCGGCCGGGGAAGGGACTCACCGGTCGCCACATGTTCGGCCGCCGCTCCGCGCCGCTTCGATGCAGCTCGCTTCCCCACGGCCAGCAGTCTCCGCGGGAGGCCGTGCACTGCGCACGCGCGCCCGGCAGGACGGCGGGCGGGCCGGGAGCCCCGCCCCGAGCGCGCCCACTGCTGCGGCGCCGCAGCGCCCCCTGCCGGCCCCTCGTGGCGCAGCTCCAGGGCCCGCGCGCTGTCGCGGGTCCTCGCGGCCCTCGCCCGCTTCCGCTCGCCGCTGCCAAGTGGACTCTGCAAACTCCGGGCCACCGCCATACCGCCCGGGCCTACCTACTGCTGACGTCACTGCAGCCACGCCCCCGGGTGGGCGACACCAGCCTCCTGGCAGCCTCTCCCCTTCCCGCATGGCGCCGTCTTCCACGCGGTGATCGCAGCGGAGACTGTTCTTCCCACTGCCCCCGGGCTCAGGCGAAGCCGCGCCTCCACCCCCCAATGCCCAACACCCGCTTCTGCCGCCAGCCCCGCAGCACCTCACGGCTCCTACCGCCTCCAGGCTGCGTGCGGACCGCCGTCCTTGATGAGCTTCTGCCCACCATCTCGTCTTCACCTGTGTCCAGGTGTCCCGGCCAACTTTCCCAGTTGCACCTGGTCGGCCTCCCTCCCTGACCCCATCTGTTTATGAAACAGGTCCAGGAAATAGGCCAGGCCCCGCGCAGAAGTGCTTCCCAGGCATCTGAGAAATGGCAACACCAAGGCGTGAGCCTGGCTGTGCGGGACACACATTGCTGAATGCCTGCGCCGTGGACTGCCCCTGAGGCTGGGAGTTGGGGGCCGGAGGAGGGCTGTCCTGTCCACTCTTGAGAAACAAGGGACAGCAGTTTCCCACCCCAAACGAACAAAGGAATGAACTCTGTCGTATTTCTACATCAAAGGACACTAGGACTGGCCTGGCTTCTGTCCCAGGCTGCGCTGCCTCTCCACAGCAGGGCAGAAGCCCCAGGACTGTAGGGGGGTACCCCACCCCTGATGGAGCTGTGTGGAGTCAGTTCCCCTAAATGAGGCTGCTGGGCCCCAGGGGCAGCCAGAAGACAGTCCCTCCAGTGACCACCACTCCCATTCCACTCAGCCCTGACTTCCGCCCTCCCCTCCCCACCTCAGTCCCCCATGCCCAAGCCCATCTTCAGAATCTCCCAGCAGCCCCGTGTTCCCAAGCCCTTGAGTCTCCAAAACTGCTGTTTAAAGGAAAAAAAAGAAAAAGGAAATGTGTATTAAGAAGGATGACTCTCACACGGATATAAAATAAGCAACGTGTCGCATCCCCAAAGATATATCTAAGCAGTAAGCTCCAGAATTTGTCCCGTGGTTTTATATAGAAATAAGGATGTTACAGACATAATTAAAGTTCTCCAGATGAGAACATCCTGGACGAGGATGGATCCTAAATCCAGTGACTGGTGCCCTTCGAAGGACAAGGACAAGGAGAAGGAGGTCTGAGACACAGGAAAAGTCCCTGTGAAGACACTGACAGAGGCAGGAGTGATAGGCCACAACCAGTCAAGAATTGCTGGCAGCCTGGAAGGCTGGGGACGGACCTGGAGCAGATGCCTGCCCCCCGGAGCCTCCAGAAGGAGCCCCACGGGCACTTTGGTTTCTGACTCTGGCCTTCAGCTCTGTGGTAGGGTAAACTTTGGTCACCATAAGCCACCAAGTTTGTGGTAATTTGTTCCACCAGCAACTCAAAAACTAGTGCAGTGTGTCAAAGGTTTATTTAAGCCATTAACTGATGAGAGAACCAGGAGTGTGGTTCTAAGTTCAAAAGAGAAGTTCAAAACCTCAGATTTATATGGAGTGAAGGAAGGCTGAAATTAATTTTTAAAAGATGGAGATGCTTTTTCCACAGGCAAAACTAACAACAGTGTCTCCACAGGACCAAACTGATTTGCACGCCCGTGGAAAGGAGGGGCGTATGTTGCCGTTAGTCACTGGCAAGATCCAGAAGGGTGGACACAGACCCTGCGAGGGCTTCCACTGGAAGAATCAGTAATAGATTTTGTTTACTCCAAAGTTTAAAATTTTCATCACTGTCTTCCCTACCCCTTTGATTTTTTAAAAAACCTTTTATTACCCTGGCTGGTGTAGCTCAGTGGATTGAGCACGGGCCTGCAAACCAAAATATCTCGGTTTGATCCCCAGTCAGGGCACATGCCTGGGTTGCAGGGCAGTTCCCAGCAGGGGCCACTTCCCAGCAGGGGACACACGAGAGGCAACCATACATTGATATTTCTCTCCCTCTCTCCTTCCCTTCCCTTCTAAATATAAATTAATAAAATTTAAAAATTTTTAAAAATTTAAAAACACCCTTTTATTTATTAATTTTAGAGAGAGAGGGAAACATTGATTTGCTGTTCCACTCACGTATGTACGCCTTCATTGGTTGATTTCTTGTATGTGCCCTGACCAGGGAGAAGATTGAACCTACAACCTTGGTGTATCAGATGACACTCTAACCTACTGAGCTGCCCTTTTGTCAGCAAAGGAGATTTCAAATTAAGGGTCACTCTGGGCCGTCGAGTGCAGCTGCTCTTCACCCGCTTAACCAGTGTGGCCGCTGCCTGCACGGGTGCTCCAAGTGCTCCCAGACCGCCTGGACCGCCTCCAATCTGCTTGCTGAAGTTTTCCTAAGAAACCGCAGACTGACTTTCAAAAGGCTCTATTCCTTGTTTCTTCCAAGGTGAGAAACATACTTCCTATCATTTGGGCAAATTTCTAAGTTCCTGGGCCCAGTAGGAAGTGACCTTCCTGATCACTTGTAGGGCCCAGAATCCACAGAACTACGGGGTTTTGTGAGCACCGATGCCAGAAGCCACCCCGGTCCCATCAGAGCAGCCCATCACACCTGTGTCACGAGCAGCCCCAGCAGTATGACAGTCCACCAGCCTAGGGTTCATCACCAGTTTCTGGGTAGACCTTGGTAAAAGGAGTGACAGACTTCTAGTGAACCTAGAGGAATGTCCACATTGGTGAGAACAGTAAGGACACTCTCAGTAAAGGTCAGATTAGGAGGGTCAGGAGATGATTCAGTGAGCACCAGCTGTCATTTTAAAAGGTTGCACTTCAGCCCTGGTTGGTGTGGCTCAGTTGATCGAGCACTAGCCTGCAAACTAAAGGGTTGCTGGTTTGATTCCCAGTTGGGGCACATGCCTGGGGTGCGTGAGAAACAGCTACACATTGATGTTTCTCTGTCTCTTTCTCCCTCCCTTCCCCTCTGTCTAAAAGTAAATAAAATATTTTTTTAAAGGCTGCGTTTCAGTTTACAAAGAGTCTAGTAAATTTATATCATTTACAGATGGTTTTCTTTTAAGTTTTCAACTTTTTTTTTACTTTTAGAGAGGGGGAGGGATGGAGAAATGGAAACGTCAGTGTGTGGTTGCCTCTCCTGTGCCCCCTACTGGGGACCCGGCCTGCAACCCAGGCGTGTGCCCTGACTGGGAAATGAACTGGTGACCTTCTGTCCTCAGGGTGGTGCTGAATCCACTGGCTATTTTTATTTATTTATTTATCTATTTATTTATCTATTTATTTATTTATTTATTTATTTATTTATTAAGGTTTTATGTATTTATCTTTAGAGGGGAAGGGAAGGAGAGAGGGAGAGGAACATCAATGTATGGTTGCCTCTCGTGTGTCCCCTGCTGGGAACTGGCCTGCAACCCAGGCATGTGCCCTGACTGGGAATCGAACTGCAATCCTTTGGTTCAAAGGCCCGCACTCAATCCACTGAGCTACACCAGCCAGGGCTATTTTATTTTATTTATTTATTTTATCCTCACCCAAGGAATTTTTTTTTCATTGCTTTTAAAGAGAGAGGAAGGAGTGGGGAGAGAGTGAGAAATGTTAGTTGCCTTTTCTTTTTTTTTAATATTAAATTTTATTTAGTTACTTTTCAAGTACATTTTTTTAATCTATTTCTCCCATCCCCCCCCCCCGCTGTTAGTTGCCTTTTCTTATGCACCCTGACCAGAGAGGACTGAACCGGCAACCCGGGGGTTGCCCTGACTGGGAATCAGACCAGCAACCTTTCGCTTTGCAGGATGACACTCCATCCCAAACAACTGAGCCATACCGGCCAGCACTACCCAACATTTACATGTAAGAGAATACAGGGAATATTACACCTGATTTATAAATATGAGTGGATAGTTTTTATGTTCATTAAAAATTATGGAAACTGCCCTGGCTGGTAGAGCTCAGTGGATTGAGTGTAGGCTGTGAACCAAAGGGTTCAGTTCCCAGTCAGGGCACATGCCTGGGTTACATACAGGACAGGTGCCCAGTGGGGACCATGTGAAAGGCAACCACATGTTGATTTTTCTTTCTCCCTCCCTTCTCTCTACAATAAATAAAAATCTTTAAAAATAAAAACCCCAGAACCAAAATTAGTGTTAAAAAAATTATGAAAACTTTTATTGAAAAAAATGACATACAACATGAAATAATCCTAAGGTATCACACAGAAAACTTAAGCATATATGAAAAGTAACAGTAAGGCACTCAACTGAGTTGGGAGTGGAGGACGGAGAGACCCCTATTCGTATGCAGCTTCACGGGGAGTCTCGTGTGGCTGCTTGAAAACTCAGACCAGAAGGCGTTGGATTCCAACCGAGAGGTCAGGGTGGGCTGCACTAACACCCGAAGAACACGATTTGGCGGGAAGCCTGCACTCCTGCTGGCAGACAGCAGGCGAAGAGCCAGCAGGACTGGCACAGCGGGAGGACAGATCAACAGGACCACACGAGTTTAGGGGGAACACCGGCAAAGCTCCAGGGGCTTCTGCAGAGCCTATGACTTCCAAAATGTTGGGATTCACACTTTACAGGTGCAGCCTTGACCTGGGGAAGGTGGAGCACCTCTGCTGGCTGCCCCCTTATGGTCGGCACCTATGAACAAGCCTGATTAATACTGGCCCCGAACCTGTCCCTGGGGGAAAGGACAAACCTCTGGGGAAGCCCAAGACCCCCCTGGGAGACACTGGAGCCCTCTGCATGGGTGAAATCTTGCAGCCACTCTGGAAATCTGTCGGGCAGGGTTTGAAATGTTCAGCAGCGTTGCTGCTGCGCGACTGAAATTTTCCACCGGGAGGCAACAGGGAATCTTCCGGCCGCACCAACACAAACAGGTGCACAGAGCCCCCACCCTGTGGAGCTCCAGGAAGGGAAACCGCCCCTGGGATAGTGGGGAGGCCAGCACGGGGGGGGGGGGGGGGGGCGCTCCCTCAGTCGACCGATATCACAGGCAGGCAGAACGGTTAGTGTCAACCCAGCCAAAAGGACTCTTAACCAGGCCCCTCTCTAAAACCATCCCAGACTCCATCCTCATCTCCTTGCAGGTGTCTGACTCAAGGCTGCCGTGGGGGTGACAGCTGGTGGCCTTCCCAGGGACTGGCATTTAGATTTGGCACCCCCTCCAGAATGATTTACCACAGGGACCACCATGGGGTGGCCTGCCAGGAACCCCTCCCGTCTGCCTCCTCAGTGAGCTCGGCCCCCACTGTCGGCGCACAGGGATCCGACCTTCGAGGTCGGTCTGCAGCTTGCCCCATCAAACCAGTGCTTTGCCTGGATGCCCTCAAGACCACAATGGGGCCCAGTCCGGGTGGTACAGCTGAGGAAGGTCCTGCCTGTGTCCCACTTGGCCTGGCTGGGGTCAGAGGCCCTGGAAACCCTCCTTTGCAGGTGGAACAAGTCAGGGACACACCCTGCTAGGGAGCTGGAGGTGGGGGCTAGGAGAGGGAGGGATCACTGGGAGTGTGACAGGGGAGTTACAAGATAGATTGTCCCCCAGGCATGGGAAGATGGAGCAGAGCCTTGCATCCCACGTGCAAGCCAGTGTCTGGGCTGGAAGAGGCCAAGGAACCCCAGGGTGGTGGGCAGCAGGCTCCTGGACACTGGTGTGCATGGTCGGAGCGGCAGACGCTGGAACCCCTGATGGTCAGTGCCCTTGCTCCAGCCAAGGACCCAGCCACCCACCCCCACACTGTTTCAGGAAGGCTGGGAGGCCCCTTGGAATTCCCCGTTAGGGAGGGAGCCCCTTTAAAGGACCATTGTCCCATGTCCCCAGGTCAGGTAGTGGGGCTCTGAGCAGATGCAAATGAGCGGACTAGACCATTCAGTCACCCAGGGGCCATTACAGCTCCAAGCACATCAGAACCTACACCTGCCGGGGGCTCTGGAATGAGAAGCACTGGCCTGGGAAGATGAAAGACCCACCTCAGTCCCTTGCCCAGAGCCCAGCCCCTGTGGTTACTGCTCGGTCCCAGCTGAGGTGGCCACACCTGGGAGTGGAGGCTGCCTGGACCCGCCCTCTGGGACAACATGCTACCTTAGGTCCTGCCTGGGCCACGGCTTCCCTCCAGGGTCTCCTTCAAGTGCCCTGGCTCCAAGACTGAGAGGATCTTTGGGCAGAGCTGGGAGCCCCAGAGCAGCTTCTACCTACTGCCCAGCTGGAGGTTTGAGCACCCTAATAGGCCCCGCAGGCAGGGCCCAGCTCTGAGGGGCCTGGCAGGGTGGGCCGTCCTGCCTCCCTGGCCACCTGCCTCGGCTCTGGGCAGCCACAGGAGGGAAGGGCATGCCGGGCGGCTCTCAGGACTTGCTGTGCCACGTCCTCTTCCCCTGGGTGTTTTGAGTTGTTTCCTGCGGGGCACTGACCGGGAGGCGCTGCAGACTTCAAAGGGCAGCGGCTTCCTCCAACCCCCACTTCCAGCCCCAGGGTGATGCCCGGGGAAGGGGGGGTGCCGATGAGGGGGGTGGGGAGGGTGCACCCAGGGCTGTGCCACCCACCCCACCTTGTCCTCCTCTCTGTGTGTTCACTCACCACCACCAAAGCCCCCACCCCCAAATCAAGCAGCCAGGCTGAGCAGCCCATGCCGCACCCCCAGGTGGCCTCCTGGCCCAGGAGGCTAGGGCACGACTGGTGGCCTCCCCTTCTCATGGCTGGGCTGTGTGTGAGCCACCCAAGCCCATCCCCACCTAATGCCTGCAGGAACCCCAGACCAGAAGCTCTGGCAGTCAAGGTGTGCAGGCCTTGCCCTTGAGTCCATGGGGGTCTCCCTCATGTTCTGTTGGTCCCGCCAAGGTGGGTGGGGTGAGGCTAAAGAGGAACAACAGGAAGAGGCCCCCACGCTGGCCAAGTCAAGGAGCAGAACAATCATGGGAAGGAGCTGGGGGCAGGGACGGCAGCACTCGTTTCCTGATTCTCTCTGCCCCACCCCACTGTAGCCCCCACCTGCACGCCCCTCCGGCTGGGCTCAGGTGCTCATTCCAGTCCATGCTGGAGAGCCACGCGGTGCAGAGTGGGCTATGGCCGGCATAGACGATGACCCCTGCAGATGCCTGTCCCAGGGCGGCACAGGCTGCTCAGGAAGGAGGCCGCTGATGTCGGAATAAAGGGTTTGGGATCTTTGGGAGTCTGATCATGGAAAAAGCCAGGAACTGGAGGCTGGTAGCCCAGAGAAGGAGTCAATAGTCTTGAGGAGAAAGGTCCTGAGCCCCTCCTGTGCCTGGGGGTGGCAGCCGAGCCCCGGTGGAATCCCCAGAGAGCAGCAGGGGAGGAGACCACACCCAGGCCACAGGGCGGGGACTGCCCGCCCTGCCTGATAACTGAGCCTGGCTGGCTGGGCCCAGCAGCTGCCTGGAGGGGGCTGCGGGGCAGTGGCCCAGCAGGGAGGAGGCCTCCCCACTTAGCTGGAGACGCCAGATGGGCTGACACTGAGTGGACACCATACTGCCTCCAACCACCCACGCCTATGCGGGTCCCTGTCCTGGAAGTAGGCCTTTGCCATCCTCAGGGGCGAGTGGGGGGTGGGTCTGAGAAGCAATGGTCAGGGGTGGGGGGCAGGTAGGAGGCCTGGACTCAGAGGGCATGACCCCAGAAACCGTCAAAACAGTGTGTGGGGGGGTGGGTTCCGACGGAACCGCTGGACCATCGCTGAGGCTCCGGGGACGTCCACCTGCAGAAGAGGAGGGGCTCCTGGGATAGAAGAGCTTTACTGCACAATGAGCACACCAGGCCGGAGCACAGCACCGGGCCTGTCCAAGGCCCCAGTGGGGACCTTGCTTGGGCCGGAGTGCCAGGGGCCCCTGTGGAGTGTGCAGGGCCTGTGCTGGTGCCCTTGCATGGGGAGGGCCTCCCTGGGCAGTGGCCAGTCCACCTGAAGACACGTGGGGTGGAGTGAAGTCCCCACCTGCCCAGGTTTAGGGCCCACAGAGATCCACACAGTCCTTCCCACTGCGGAACACGTGGTAGATGCTGGTGGGAGGGAACATGGCAACCGCACCAAGCAGGGAGCCCACCTGGATGGCCACGCCAGCTGCCAGCAATGCTGGCTGGCCGCCCCCATGCAGCAGGGAGCTGGCGGCCACCTTCACGTATGAGAACAGCCACACAAACAGCACCCATGACAGCACCTGGGAGGCAGACAGAGCAACAGGCTGAGCATGTGGTGCCCCCGGCTCCACAGCAAACTCCCCTCCCACCCTGCTTGCTTCCGTGTCCCCAGTGTACTTACCACAAGCACGATCCCTGCAGGAGTGCCCACCAGGGGTGGGCAGGGGCTCAGGACTGCCAGCGCCATTAGGTAGGCCCCAAAGAGCATGCCCAGCAGAGAGAGACCGCCCAGCCCTGCCAGAGATCTGCCGGAGGAAAGCAGAAACTTAGGGCTGACTGTCCTGGGACCAGGTCCCCATCCCTAAGTCCCAGCCCGAGTGGCTTCGGGCCCCTGTGCACCTGCACAGCACGCCCATAGCCAGGAAGCAGGCGAGGGGGTTGGCGGCACTGCCCAGAACTGTGGCCAGGTGGTAGGCCAGGCGCCCATAGGGCAGGCAGGAGAAGCTCTGCACAGCAGGCAACACGCCATTGGTCAGTGCGTTGGTGATGGCCAGCAGGCCCAGCAGGCAGGCGCTGCGGGCAGAGAGCAGCTGCCGGGCCTCCAGGTCTGGGCCAGGGGTACTGGCCGCCACCTGGAAAGGTGGCTCCTGCAGTGGCGAGGCCTCTTCCTCGTCCTCCATTCCTGGGGCTCCTCCCTGCAGGCCAAGCCCCGGGCCTCCTGTGGGTGTGGATGGTGGTAACGGCAACAGCAGCAGGAGACCCTGGAAGGCAGCAGCCGAAGTGACCAGGAGAGCAGCAAGTATCCAGAAGAAGGTGCTGGCGGGAAAACGCTCTGGGAAATTGTGGGGAGGCCCAGGAGTGCCGTTGATGGCGGCCGGCGGGCACTCCAGGCGGCCCACACCCTGCGCTAGGGCGAGCACGCAGGGCAGCAGGGCACTCAGGCCCTGACCCAGAAAGAAGGACCGCAGGAAGGGGGGCGGCAGGTGGCTCAGGAAGGGCAGGAAAGTGACGTTCGAGGCACAGCAGGCCAGCGCCAACAGCAAGGTCAGTGTCAGGAAGGCCACGGAGTGGTTCTGCCCCGCAACTGGTGCCACCTGCTGCCACAGAGGCGCTAGCAGTGCAGTGCCCACCACACTCAACATCTGCACCACCTGAATGGGGGCCTGCTCGCCCTTGCTTGGGGCCAGCCGTTTCCACAGGGTCACTGCCAGCAGGCCCAGGTTCCCCAGCGCCAGGAGCACAGAGAGGTAGGAGGGGAGGCTCCAACCTGCAGGAAAAGATGGAGGCCACCTCAGAGGCTAAGGGACAAAGCAGCAGCAGCCCACCCTCTGGGGCCCTCATTTGCTGGCGCACTCTCACTCACCCTCAGGGAGGTCTTTCACCACAACCGGCAGCTCCACCCAGATCCCATTAATGGCAGCCCAGGAGCCCATGCCAAAGAGGGCTACCAACAGGTGGGTCAACACCAGACGGCCCAGCGGGGGTGCTGCCATTCAGCCAAGGCTGGAACCCCCAGGACAGGGCTGGGTCTCCACCTAGATCCAAAGAAGGTGCTTTCACTTTTCTGGAAACTGAAGAGCGTTTCTAGCCTGAAGGAAACAGATACACAGGCGGAAGGAAGCACAAGGAAGAGACGCAGGAGTCAGGAGGCCAGACAGCCAAGACCCAGGAAGAACGGAGATGGGGAGAAGGAGCCAAAATAAACGCCGTAGCACCTGTCTCCGGTGTCAGGACCGCGACACAGCAAGGCAGAGAAGCAGAAAGCAGGGTCCGAACTGCTACGGCGGCCCCTAAGGAAGGATGGTAACGAGGGAACTGGCTTCGGGTCTGAACTGTCGAGACTACCGCCAGCCTCACTCCAAAACAGACACGGGGACAAGGACTCCGTGACAGGGGTACCCCTCAGGTGCCACGCGTGTCTCTGCGTTTTCTGCGCCCACCTGGGAGTCCGGAGCTTTGGCGAGATCCAGGAGGCGGGAGCCCGGTGGGGATCTGAAGGGATGTAGCGGAGGCGAGAATCGCCCTCGTTGCGTGGGGTGGACGGTGGAGAGCAGCCCAGGGCGACAGAGCCCCCGCGCCTCCGGTGCAGCGCCCAAGTGCTCCCCGGCTTAGAGGCCGGCCGGCAGGACACGCGCCTCCGGCCCAGGACGGTGGCTCCAGCCCAGAGCCGGTGACTCTGGGGGATGTGGTCGGGACAGAGAAAGGACTCTCTCACCAGCCAGGACACTTAAAATCCACCGCCGGAAGTCCCGCGCCCGGAAGCTGGTGCTGAGTCTGCCGGGAAGGGGCCAGCCCCGCCCTCAAGCCCCGCCCCTTCCGCTCCACTGGGTAAGGCTCCCGGCTATGGCTACTGGTGTGGCGCGACGGGCCCGGCGCCGAGTCCGGGGCGCGCCGCCGGCTGGGGTGCGAGCCCGTTCGGCCGAGGACTGGTGGTGGGATCGGCTGGCGCCGAGCGGCTCCGGGTACCACCTGCTGCAGTCGGATAGCATGTTACTGGTGCTGCCCGGCTCGGGGCCCGCCCGCGCCCGCGCGCACAGGCGCGCCGCCCGCCGAGCTCAGCGGCTGCGGTTGCCTGGGTCGCGCGTCACAGCGGCCAAGGCCAGACCCAAATCCGCACCCGCACCTGCTCCAGCTCCTGCACCCGCGCCGCAGCAAGGACCCGACCCGGGCTGGGGCGACCGCATCCCTTTGGAAATCCTGCTGCAGATTTTCGGGTTGCTGGTGGCGGCCGATGGACCCATGCCCTTCCTCGGCAGGTACTCCGGAACCATGGAGCGCAGCGGCCTGGCTCTGGCTGACCTCTTGCGACCCAGCGGGTGGCAGAAGCGGGCACGTCTGAACGTGAGCGCGTACACACGCATACCAGAGAGCACAGTCTCTCCGGGAGTCCATTTGGAGCCCCAGGCGCCCGACTTTGCGCTGAAATGTCCTCAGCTTTGTAAGAGCTGCGGCGTCCAGTGGGGTGGCATCTACCACAAAAGGCCCTGCCCTTCAGCAGAGTTTTTCTTCCAGGGCTGCACGCGTGTGCCGCCGCTGGCGCGAGGCCGCTTCCCAGCCTACTCTGTGGCACACCGTCACCCTGTCGCCGCCACTGGCTGGCCGCCCTACAAAAGGGGGGGCCAAGGCTGAGAAGAAGCTCCTTGCTTCCCTGGAGCGGTTTATGCCCAATCGGTGAGGCGTCCCCTCTTTTTTTTTATCCCCTACTGCACCTGTGTTGTGTGGAAAGGCCCAGCCCCTTCCAGCGCCGAGGTGATGGGTGGGGAGGATCCAGAAGAAGAGACGGCATGGGGACACCGGGCAGGATTGCTTCTGCCGTTCCTGCAGGTTCTCGCAGCTCCAGAAGCTGACCCTCATCCACTGGAAGTCCCAGGTACATGCTGTGTTGAAGGTGAGTACCCACAGCTTCCCTGCATGTCAGCTGCCACACTCTGGGCTTGCCTGTTATTTGCGGGGACTGGGTCAGGCATCGCAGGGCCCAGCGCTGTCCCATGGGAATACCCATGGGGCTACCTGCCTGGTTCTCCTGTTGTCTCCTCCACCAGTGAGATGCTAGACGGAGGAGCCCCAGGTGGGCTCAGCGCGGACAGAAGGAGGTCAGAGCTGAGGCGGTAGAGTGTAACCAGCCCCTGGTTTCATTCTTGTCGCCACAGCCTGCCCTTCTCTGATCCCACTGGAACTTTGTCTTTCACAGCTTGTAAGCGAGTCCTGTCCTCGGCTCACCTTCCTCAAGCTTTCCGACTGCCACGGCGTGGCCCCTAACTCTTTGACTGTGCTAGCCAGAGCCTGCCCTCAGCTCCACAGCCTGGACATACAGCATTCCACGGTGAGCCCTGCGTTCCCAGGGGCCCCGAGGAAGCCCAAGCCAAGGTGACAGGTAACCCTGTGCTGGGTCCCCAGGTGGAGTCCACGGCTGTTGTGAGCTTCTTGGAGGAGGTGGGGCCCCGTATGCGCAAGCTGTGGCTGACCTGCAGCTCCCAGACAACAGCCATCTTGGGTGCACTGCTGGTAGGTTGGTGACAGGCAGGAGCAGAGTGGGTGCGGAACCAGGGAGTGCCAGGCCACCGACCCACTTCACTCCCACCGCTGCAGAGCAGCTGCTGCCCCCAGCTCCAGCTCCTTGAGGTGAGCACGGGCATCAGCCGAAACAACACTCCGCTCCAGCTGCCTGTGGAGGCCTTGCAGAGAGCCTGCCCCCAGCTGCAGGTACCTGACACCCCACCTCTCCCCGCTGTCACTCCTCTCCCCACCTGCAGCCTGGGCCTTGCTCCCAGGTACTACGGCTGCTGAATCTGGTGTGGCTGCCCAAACCTTCTGGGCGAGCAGCGACTCCTGGCCCAGGCTTCCCCAGCCTCGAGGAGCTCTGCCTCGCCGGGCCCACCTGCAACTCAGTGAGCGACGAGGCCTTGGGACGCCTGCTGCACAGCTCCCCTAATCTGCGCCTTCTGGATCTGCGAGGCTGCGCCCGAATCACACCTGCTGGCCTGTGTGACCTGCCATGTCGGGGTCAGCTCTCCCTGGGTGGTGGTGGCAGGGAAGGTGTGATGTGGGGACTCTTGCCCACCCACAGCTCATCCCCACTTCTCTCATCTCTAGAGCTGGAGCAGCTTTACCTGGGCCTGTATGGCATGTCAGACCGGCTGACTCTAGCCAAGGAGGGCAGCCCCCTGTTGACCCAGAAGTGGGCCCACACTCTGCGGGAACTGGACTTGAGTGGCCAGGGCTTCAGCGAAAAGGACTTGGAGCAGGCCCTAGCTGCCTTCTCAGGCACCCCTGGGGGTTTACAGCCAGCCCTGTGCTCCCTCAACCTCAGGGGCACTCGGGTCACACCAAGCACAGTCAGGTCAGCACCCCCTCCTCCAGTCCCTTGGAGCCAGTGTGACACGCTCCCCACCCTGCCTGGCTTGCCAGTTCCAGGGTCCAAAAGGGGAGCGCATACTGGCCAAGCCTCTGTTTGGGGTCAGCCTAGGGGACACCAAGGGGACTGGGACTGGGGGCCTTGGTGGCTAGGGTGGCAGGACCAGCTGTTGCACATGGGCAGAGGGGGCTCCCCAGCCTGGCCCAGCCCTGCCAGGGCCTGGGTCTCCTGGGGGCCAGTGGCTCACCCCACGGCCTACCCTGCCCTGCAGCTCTGTGATCAGCAGCTGCCCAGGCCTGCAGTTCCTCAACCTGGAGTCCTGCCGCTGCCTCCCGAGGGGCCTGAAGCGGGCCTACCGGGGCCCCGAGGATGTCCAGCGGTGCCTGGAGCAGCTGCTCACCAGCCCCCCCTCCCCCAGCTAGGCATCCTGGCCCTACACCCTTCCCGTTTTGGATGTTGGGACATTTTGTTACAATAAACACTTTTAAGAACTCTGTGTGGTCCTTGGGGTTGGAGTGAGGGGACAGGGCTCATACCTGAGGGAGCCACTCGGAGCTACAGCTGGCCTGGAGCCTGCGCTGTTTTTGGGGTGTGACCCCAGATCTTACTGCTGGACTGGAATCCTGAGCTAAGTGTGCATGTGCCCGCCCTGGGGGACGGGGGCGCCTCAGTGGGCCGTCTGTGGCCATGTATGAGGCTCTGGCCTGGGCAGATATGGTGATGGAGAGGGGAGGGCCCTGCTCAGCCAGGGTCTTTGTGAGGTACACTTGCGTACAGATTTCTGTACACCTTAGGGCTGGGGTGTCCCACCACCCCATCCTTCAGTTAAGGATTTGAACCAGGTTTTACAGGGGTCCTTCCATGGGTAGGGCAGGACCAGCAAGGAAGTGAATGCCCAACATAGTGACCCGGCCAGGAGACCCTATTGAGAAGGGGAAATCAACAGTATGGACCCTTCTAGAACCCACCACCTCAGGCTTCTAGAACGCGATCTGCAGCCCAGTCTGGACCACCTCTCTGCTCCCTTGCCTGCCGCCTATGAGCTCCAGCTCCTTCCTGGACTGCAGCCCTGGAAACTTTCTTCCAGGTAGGAGGGCAACTGTGGGCAGTGGGTGGTGCTGAAGTGCCGCCCAGCTGACCACCTGTGCCTGACCAGACCCAGGCCCCCAACGACTGGATCAGCGGCCTTTCCAAGTCTTCCTTCGGAAAGCGCTTCCAGCTCTGGAACCTAGGACTCTTTTGCAACGAGCGCCACCTGGCTAAGCGCCTCAAGAGCAACAGCTTCTACCCTTTCACGGAGCAGCAGCCCAACGGTGCGCGCGTCCGGGCGGGGCCAAGACGCAGGGGTGGGGCCTGGGACTGGGGTTGGGGGTGGGCGCTGGGGCGGGGACAGCAGGTGATGGGTGTCCGAGGCAGAACCCTGGTGCTGCCACTCCTGCGAAGAGCAGGGGCTGACTGTTCTCACGCGCCCCGGCCGCACCACCGCAGTCTTCGTGCTGGAGTACTACCTGGATACTCTGTGGAAGGGGATGCTGCTCTTTGTCGTCTGCCTCTTCCTGGTCAGCTTCGGCCTGGTGAACCAGGTCGGAGCTCCGGGGCCCGCCTCCCCTCCCCTCCCCACCTTCCCCGGGGGCCAGAACAGAACTGAGATGTTCCCCGCGGCGCCCACAGGTGAAGAAGCAGGAGACGTGGGTCTTCCCCGCGTACGGGGTGGGCGTGGGCCTGTGGATCATGATCTCATCGCTGCCGCGCCGCCGCCTGGTGCTGAACCACGACCTCGGCATGTACAACTTCTCCATCCAGGGCCACACTGTGTTTCAGGGGCCCTTGCACCTGCTCTACGTGCGCCTGGCGCTCAGCTCTGACGGTGACGCACGCACGCACGCACGCACGCAGGGGGGTGGGGAGGGCGTGCGAGGGGAGGGGGCGGGTAAGCCAGAGCTGCGCAGTTCCCTGGAGCCCCCGGGCCCCACCCCTCCCCCACGTTTCCTCCACCTCCCACGCCCCCCAGGCTGAGTTACCTGCCCTCCGCTAGCTTATGGAAGGTGCTTCTTCCAACTGGTTCTGTGCGGCCACAAGCTAGAGCCACTGGTGCTGGTGCAGCTGTCCGATCGCTATGAGGTGGGTCCGGCTCCAGCCCGCCCTGGCCTCAGACAGACTCTCCCTCTCTTCCTTGGCTCAACGTAACATTCACCACTGCTTAGGCCTTAGGATGGGGCCATTTTGCAGGCAGTCCTGGCCTGGCCTTTGCACTGGAGCCAACGGTGGAGTGGGTGCTGCTGGGGCTGACCGGCAGGCCTGGCGGTGCGGTCTGGCGAGGGAAGGGGGCGCCTCGGGAGGGGTGGTAGCGGCGGGGGCCTCTCCTGTCCCAGCGAGAACTGAGTACCACACGCTCCCCCAG